CAAGGTTGCGCCGAGCGGGGCTGTTGTGCCGCACCAGGAGGGACTGGTGTGCCGCACCGAGCGGGGCTGCCGTGCCGCACCAAGCGGGACTGGTGTGCCGCGCCGAGCTGGGCTGTTGTGCCGCACCAAACGGGACTGTTGCGCCGCACCAAGTGGGGCAGTTGTGCCGCGCCGAGCGGGACTGTTGTGCCCCGCCGAGCGGGACTGTTGTGCCGCACCAAGCGGGGTTGCCGTGCCGCACCGAGCGGGGCTGTTGTGCCGCACCAATCGTGACTGTTGTGCCGCACCAAGCCGGGCTGTCGTGCCGCGCCGAGCGGGACTGTTGTGCCGCACCAAGCGGGGTTGCCGTGCCGCGCCGAGCGGGGCTGTTTTACCGCACCAAGCGTGACTGTTGTGACGCGCCGAGCCAGCGGGGTTGCCGTGCCGCGCCGAGCGGGGTTGCCGTGCCGCACCAAGCGGGGCTGTTGTGCCGCGCCGAGCGGGGCTGTCGTGCCGCCACCAGCAATCGGCCACACACCTACCACCGTTGAAACGGTGTCATGAATGCGCTTCCGAAATGGATTTCCACGCAGAGGCGAGGGAGAAAGAGGGAGAGAGAGAGAGAGAGAGAGAGAGAGAGAGAGAGAGAGAGAGAGAGAGAGAGAGAGAGAGAGAGAGAGAGAGAGAGAGAGAGAGAGAGAGAGAGAGAGAGAGAGAGAGAGAGAGAGAGAGAGAGAGAGAGAGAGAGAGAATGACAGGGGGAAGAGGGGGGAGGGGGGAGGGGAGGATACTAGGCACACTATGGATTTGACAGGAACACAGGTTTTTCATACTTGCGTTATTCTGAAACGTGGCAATCGTGACCATCTGTACACGATTTAATCGTGTGGAGATAAGTGATATCAGATGTTTGTCTTGCGCTCAATACCAGATCATGCAAGTGCCAACACTGCTTTTGGGGCTGGCAACGTTGCTAAATGCATGGTTAAGTATAACATTCTTCCTAAACATGGTCGAAAGGGCGCATTATTCAAACAAATACGCATTCTTTTCTTCACATGATATTAGTGCACTAGTACTGGGTTTTAAGTATTCCAGCCGCGTTGTTTTCAATCATGGCACCGTCATGAAGCCATTCGTGCCAAATATATAGCAACAGTAATAAACCCCGGTAAGCTGTCACATTCCACCCTGAGCTATTGAAGCGATGTATGCCAAGCACGCTAAGCATGCTAGATTAATAATACAATATGATTAGTAACAGGAATGCACACACACACAACACACGCACACACACACCAACACACCACACACACACACACACACACACACACACACACACACACACACACACCACACACACACACACACCACACACACACACACCACACTACATCATCATATATAGATATATATATATATATATATATATATATATATATATATATATATATATAAGTTTACAGGTAGCTAATGTAAAAAGAAGGTAAATGAAAAACACGCTAAGATCAGCAAAATTCGCTGATATTCGGAAGATTCGTCATCATTTCGTTTTTTTGCAACACTATCGTGTGCTGACGCCAAAACCAGCACACTCGAACGCGGCCGCGGCTGCAGGATTCGCCGCCTCAGCCGTCTGGCCCCGCCACCGGCTCCTGGGGGCGCCACCCTCGTCCAGCGCCGGTCACCCGCGACCGGCTGAATTATTTTTCTATTCCTGCGGCGGCGACGGCGGGGAATTTCAATCAGGTCATCAGACGGCGGCGCCGTTGTCGGCGTCGGGTGGCCGCCCGGCCGCTGGCGCCGAGCCCCATTGTGGCGCGCTCCCGGCTGCCCCTGTAAGCCGGCTCCGGCCCCGCCGGCCGCTCTTTTAACTCGGGAAAGAACACGTACGTGCTGCGAGTGCTGATGGTGCCGCGGCACCAGCGGCTCTTTAATCCGGTGGGATGAGTGGTCGGTATTAGTTGCCTGTCCGCCCGGCTTATGCCGCAGGCTTACGGCTTGGACAGCCGTGCTAGATCTTCGTTCCGATGAAAATGTACATGGTGTTTCTCGTAACATGTATGCCTGCCTCGAACGCCCAACAAGTTAGTCAGCAAGAACAGCGAATAGAGCTACTCAGGTGTTATGAACGTATTGTCTCTATGCCGCTGTAAAACATGGGCTAACATGCTGACATAGTTTTATTCCAATGTAGACAACCAGTTGTTAGCATATTTTTAAGAGTCAAAGCATCAATGTGTCACGATTTTGATGAAACGTACCGCTCTGCGGTACTCGGTACACGGCTGGCGACGGACTTGCCTACCCCGCTGCTGCTGAGGCTGGCCGACGGCCGCTCGGCGACGCGCGCAGGTGCGCGGCCGTCTCTTCATGGGACCCAGGCGCTCACTCAACCTCCGGTTTGGTCTCAAGTGGCCACCCTCATCGGGAAGCAAACTGCCGTCGGTTACCTCAAATGGCGGTGGCCTTGTCTGGAATTTTGGACGGATGCACGATATGTAAATGCAGGGAGCATCACAGCATGACTGACGTGTCATTGAACATAGGTGATGTGTGTTTGATACGGCAAGGTCTGATTTGCATCACCTTTTTGGATATTCGGTACGTGTTCAGCTATGCAACTAGCATACCTATACGGTTATAGGTAAGGCTGGCCTTGGCCAGCGGTGTAATTTCCAATTCAGTTGGGGGGAAGGTGAAGCCCCCCTCCAACTTAGGCTTCAGCCTCCAAACTTTTGGAAGAGAATGGACCAAATCTGACGGGAAATCTGTTTGGTTGACATATTTCGGCGGTAGGCAGGGTAATTTTTTACTGTTCAGCCGTCCCCCAAGTGCTTTCGTGGAACTTCGTCACTGCTTATGATGAAATTGTAAGCGAATATTGATGACACAGGCAGCTTTTCAATCGGCATGTTGTCCCCCACTGTCCTAATTTCCACGTTTGTTACGGTTGTGCTTCTCTTTATTTTCTCCAGTCTCCGTTTTGGGAACACCCAAGGAACCAAAGCCCAGACGTGACCAGAATATCCCAAGCAATAAAATCGCCAGGTCTGAGGAGAGCCAACAATAGCCGATACAATGCGGTGCCTTTTTGGCACGGATATGAAAATCATGAAAAATTATCACATTTGCTTCAGGGAAAAGTTACCAGTGTTATACAGATTAGCAATACAGAGCATGGGCGACATTATTGCTACAGACACAACTACAGCCGCTTGCTTCTAGTGAAAGCAAAGGTGCCGTCATCATCATTGGGGGTTCACAACGCACTCAGCTGCTGAGGCTATGTAGCGTCGCCCGCATCTCACCCTGGCTGGAACGGCGGGTGGCGTGGAAAATCGATCGAAAAGAAATGTGTCTTAACACGCGCCCGGGTGGCCGGCTAAATACCGTTCGCTCGGGTCCGGGGGTCGATTTGACCGCCCCCTGAGATCTCGAGAACTAAGAGAGATAAAGCCACCAAATTTACAGGGTGTGTTGATCTGTACGTGAACTCACTTAGGTCAAAGTTTGAGGTTCCTAGGTCATGACTTCCGGGTCAAATAAGGTCAAATAAGGTCAATTTCCGGGTTTGTCTTCAAAGTGCCGCTAGAACCTAAATAACTGTTTCTAGCAAAAGTTAACATGCTCAGTAAAGGTCAATGACCCTGCTTGACCTTTTGAATGTCATGACGACCAAAATAGTGCAAGGCTACTCTGACTTTTGCATTGGAATAAGCGATAAAGATTACGCTAGGCAGTATGTTTCTAAAAACAAAATGTTGATCTGGGTTGTTTTAGGTCAGTGATCTATTTTGACCCCTAAGAAGTCCATGGAAGATGTATAATGCGGTTCCTGCTATCAATAAATTCGAAATGAGTACCAGAAACTATTCCATACCGCAAGCCCCAGAGTAAAAAAAAAACAGGCAGGTTTTGACCTTGGTCTCACCTTTGTACCTGAGCTTAGATCAACGTCATTTGCTTATTCAATATTGATTTTGCCTAAGAAAGCATCTCAGAGACGTATGGCTACGTCTAACACTCCGTTGTTGCATCAGATTGAGGGATTTCCTAGAAATCGACTTCGCTGAAGCCGTGTCCTGATTTTGACCTACCATAGGTCAGCGGCCTTACCAGGTATATTTAATTTTTTGACCCTAAACGATCCGTTATGCAATTTTCTACAGCTATGCAAAATTTGGCGCGGCTGCACCGTTCGGAAACCATTCTGGAAAAACCTTCGAAGGGGGCTGCAATTGGACCCCCACCTGAGCGCGTGTAAATCCTGAGATGCGTAATGGCTCATTTCACATACGTGTGCTGTTCTTCCATGTGCTGCGTTACGTTTTGCTAGGACGTAATGGGCCAACACTATGTCTGCGGGAACGTTGCTAAATGCAAGGTCCAGCATAACATTCTTCTTGATTATGACTGAAAGGGCGCTTTATTCAAGCGAACAGCGATGGGCTTATGTGTGCGCCACCCCAGTGGTATTCCTTTAATTGTATCGCAAAAGTGGGTGACCATAGCTGGTGGTCAACACGCTGTCGCCACGCGGCTTCGTCTCACTCTGGACCTGTGCAAGTTTCAAACTATGGGAACCGAACCGCTGTAACCGGTGCTAAAGTTGCCCGTTCAGGACAAAGGAGGCCACTTCTAAGAAGCCTTTTCAGAACGACGTTCATCGCTTACAACACTCAAACGGGTTCAAACACCCACACACCCGTCACACTCCGCCGATTGTTCAGTACGCCAGTCAGCCCGGTCACGCCCGCCGCCCCCGAGGATGCTGACCGCTCCAGAAGCGGCGCGCCGTCACAGCGGCCACCCTCCCCCCCCCCCCCTCCGAGGATGCTGACCGCTCCAGAAGCGCCGCGCCATCACAGCGGCCACCCCCGCCCCCCCCCCCCCTCCGAGGATGCTGACCGCTCCAGAAGCGCCGCGCCATCACAGTGGCCACCCCGCCGTCCCCGAGGCCGCTGACCGCTCCAGACGCAGCGCCCCGTCACAGCGCGCTGACCGGCTGACGATTTCAGCGTGGCGTTTCGTGAGGAGCTGGCGGCGGCGGCGCGGCTGCGCTCCCGTCAGCTGTGCGCCGTGCTCGGCGTCAGTGAAGAGCCGCTGGCCGTGCTGGTGCAGCACTCCCCGCTAGGCGACCTCAACCAGTTCCTACAGGGTCACGTGTCCGAGACCAGCACCGGCGCCGGCAAGGTGCTGAGGTCAGTGATCACGTGCCTCTCACCATTTTGACCAAAGATGACCAGGTCGCTGGCGCTACTTAGCAGACATGTCATGGTGCCTTCCGAAAGGCAAGGGACGAAGGTATGGATGAAAGTAAAATGGCTCGTTGTCACAGAAGTATCTGTTATGAAATTTGAGTTCCTGTAAGGTAGTTCCAAATGCACGGTGGCGTGACGTGTGAAAGAGCTCGTGCGGGACGGCCTGCTATAATGACAGCCGTCCCGCGACAGGAAAGGTTCTATTTTCGGTGAAACAGCCAAGTCGCGCTAGTGTAGCTCATTTCCACGCCCACCAACGAAGCTCAGCAATCCTCTAAGATGTGTTCTTCTTCCACAGCTACGGCAGCTTGCTATATATGGCCGCCCAGATCGCGTCTGGAATGAGTTTCTTGGAGGACAGCGACGTCATTCACAAGGACCTGGCGGCACGGTAAGCTGGCGTCATCACTATCGCCCTCCGCATCGGTGAGCAGGAATACCACGATCGCTGACACATTCGGCTTCCCTGACGCAGACCCAACGAATGCGACCCTTCACAGCCCAAGCTAGGTTTACGGAAACACAACAGGTGACTCTAGTCAGGGCCTCCGTTCTCGTGGACGACCATGTAGCGCCTACGTCCCCAGACGAGATCTCAGTGAGTGCAGCCATCAGCCTCACGCCCCCCCCCCCCCTACCCCCCAGCGGTGGCCCGAGCCCAGTTGAGCTGTGGGCGCAGCCAGCAGCCTCACGGCGCTCCCAGCTGCGGCCCGAGCCCAGTTGAGCTGTGGGTGCAGCCAGCAGCATCGCGGCGCTCCCACCTGCGGTCCGAGCCCAGTTGAGCTGTGGGTGCAGCCAGCAGCCTCACGGCGTCCCCAGCTGCGGCCCGAGCCCAGTCGAGCTGTAGGCGTAGCCAGCAGCCTCACGGCGCTCCCAGCTGCGGCCCGAGCGCAGTCGAGCTGCGTCGTAAATGGCTCCGCAAATTACGCCGCATGACGGCCATTTGCGGTAATTGCTGCTGGATGAGCCGACCAGCACGGCGCTCCATGCGCCGAACGACCGCGGCGCGGGAGTTTCGCTCTAGGAAACGCAACAGGCGGGGGGCACACGCCAGCAAACAGAATAAGAGCAGCGGTGTCGACAGCGATCGGTGGCGAAATGCAGCTGAGCTTCGCTATTCAGGTCGCGTCTGCGCAACACTGCGCGCAAAATTAAAACTGTTCATCTGGGCTCAGGTTGTCCGCAATTTTCTTCCAGTGCTCTGTACGCACGTTTCGCACTGCAACCAACGCCGGCACATGTGCTTTGGCAGGAACTGTGTGGTGTTTGACGAGCTGCAAGTGAAGCTGACCGACACAGGGTCTATGCGGGACCTGTACTCGGCCGACTACTACCAGCTGGACAACACCCGTCTACCAATTCGCTGGCTCGCCTGGGAGGCGCTCTTCATGGTAAGAGGGTCTGCCGTCGCCAAGGGCAGGCTGCTGAACGATCCAGTGCCGTGCAGTGGAGTGAGAGAGGTCGCTAATTCAAAATGTGAATTGAAAAACTTGAACATTTCTGCGCAGTGTTCGCAAATGCGATGCACACTAGCATGATTGAGACACGTGCAACTGTAAGTTTTCCTGGTGGCCATGGAGACGCTCTAGCATGACGAATTTGGAATCATCATAGGCAATAGTCACATGTTGGAAAAGTTCTCACTGCAGTCAATATCCATGCCAAGCACGGCATTCTGTCATAAACTGCGCAAAAACACCTTGTATATGTATTTCCTAGGTTTTGCAATGTACTGTACTATCTAAGAAATGTATTTCCAGCCAAAAATATGCATCGTAACGGTTAACCTATCAATGACGACACTGCTGTTATTCCGAAGGCTGCATTATCCATAGGCTAATAAATGCAGACTAATGCCTATATATGCATTAGCCTGCATTTATTAGCCTATCCCTTCCCGTAGCGATGACACGTGTGGCCTGGATACGCGTCTGCGCGAGCCGACCTTGACCCTGACCTTCAGGGCCAGGTGAGCTCGGCATCGGACGTCTGGTCCTTCGCCGTCACGCTGTGGGAGATCCTGACATTCGCCAGGGAGCAGCCGTTCGAGAATTTCAGCGACGAGAGCGTCATCTCCAATCTAGCCCTGTTCTACAGCAACGACGGTGCTCGGCTGCCGGTCAGTGCTCGCCACTGATCTCGTGAGGGTACTGTCGGCGGCGTCACGCACACAGCTGCACTCCAAAATGGCTGTTTTCAGCAGCTCCGTCGCCATTTTCGGCTAGCCGAGATTGAGTGGGTCTTCGTGTACTCTCCTTTCTGAGTTTCCTAATCAACTCGGTGGTATGAGGACGTATGTGGCATGCGACGCTAAACGGGACAATTTGTCAAGATATATTGCGCACAGACAAACATCTGAGCGCCTGCCGGCGCATGCGCGTCGCAGCGTCCGCAGCTCACGTCGTCGGTGGTCTGACTGGGCCGCCGCTTACCTGCCGCAGGAATACCTGCCGCCGCCGCCGGCCTGCAGCGCAGAGGTGTACGACTTGATGCTCGAGTGCTGGCGGCGCGACCACGCCGAGCGGCCGCCGTTCCGCCATATCCACCTCTTCCTGCAGCGGCTGAACCTCGGCTACCGGCCGGCCGACGCGGCGTGACGGCGACCGGCCGCCGAGTCCGGCCGCACCTTCGCGCTGGTCGAGTGCCCCCAGGGCAGGTGACGGGCCCCCGGCGCGCGCGGCGGCGGCGGCGGCGGCGGGCCGGCGCACCGCCCGGCGTCGCCTGCTGGCATGTCGAACGTGGCGGGGGCCTGGCTCGGCGGAGGTTTTGATTCAGCGGCCAGCAGTGCCAGCGGGGGCCGCTGTCTGGGCTGAGCGAGTGAAAGCGCTGGCTGGCCGGGCACCGGCTGCCTCGGTGTGAGGACATTGAGCACGTCTCCGGGGACACACGACGCCGATCGTCGTTGGCGCCGATTTTACACCGATTAGTGTTCTGCTGGAACGCCAGTGACTGTGTCAGTGATGGTGTATAGCGTGGGTCGAAGTTGCACGTGCACAAGGGCAGCAGAACGGCCAGGAGTGGCGCCAGCGCGGCAGGCGTTCAGGCAATAGTCGTGGTCTGGCGAGGACCCGGACCCGTAGGTGGCCTACCATGTGTTTGGTGCCAAGTCCCGTGCTTTTGCGTGCATCTGAGGCATGCATTGTTGGAACTTTAAACCCAGATGTGTAAAATGTTGTCTATGTGCCGACAGGGTCTGCGAGAATATCCTTATGTACCGTTGCCTTTGCAGAGACAATCACGTGATTGTTGCACTATCTAAGCAACCCTAGGTAAAATCGGTGCGGTTTATGTTTGTGGGTTGAAAGGTGGCCTGAACTGTAGTAGCCTGACCTTACCATTTTTGTGAAAATATATGATGTGAAGACTTTTCATCGTGAAAACAGACTCCATAAAACATGATAAAATGTAATGTCAGCGCGCACACGGCTGGCAAAGGTCCGTGTTAGCCTTCTTGAGCTTCGCACCAACCCACGCACATCGTGGCACTCACTTTTAAGACTGTTTTTGCCGTTCCCCGTTCATCTGGCGTGGGGCGAGAATAACTGCGGCGCTGCCCGCCTGGACCGGACTGGTTCGTGGGGCGGGGAGTTACACCTTGCCGGGACCGCCGGGGCTGAGAGCTGCGCTGGGCCGGCCCCCTGCCGACAGCCGCCGCTGGCACCGATGTTAGGCGGAGATGACACAGACATTGATCTTGTGTACGTCGTGCGTATGCCATCCATGAGATTCATGCGGCCAAATTCGTGGCAATCGTGTCATAGAAGGCAAGCTAGCTGGGGTTGGCTGTGACGTCTCTACGCTTACGGTCGAGGTTTGCGTGCGGCGTGCGCACAGTGTCACCACTGCTGCTCGGGCGTTGTGCCCAAGACCAAATCGCAGCATTCAGTAATCCCTCAGTATGGAAGCTTATTGTGGTACTCGAACCCCGGGGCTTTCATTGCTATGTACTCTATTTCGCTATTGATGATGCAGACACATAATACCGCCCGCTCCGGTGGCTCGGTCGGTTAGAGCTCCTGGATTCGTAATCGCTAACCGGGCTGGGGTGGATTACAGTCGCTTTAGGCGCTTATTATTTGCCCCCGACTTGAATGATGTTTGGTCGCTGGCAGTGGCCGTATTTAAGGTCAGGAGACGTCAGAAGGTGATGTGGATCAAGCCGAGCATTACGGCACGTTCAACTTTCGTCATACTGTCGTCTTGCCGTTGACCTGGAATTTTACGATCGGATGGCGGTTAGGACTTACGCAACAGGCACTGCTTGACGTGGTTACTGATCTTGGAAATGCATTAAATCAAACTGGAAAAATCCTTAAAAAACTCAATTAAAAAAGGTACCTCATAATCGGGTATTGCCTAAAAATCGTCGCGCTTATTATGCTAGAAAATTGAGATGCAAACGACTGAAGGAGATTTGAACAATTTGTTTAAATCAAAGTTCAGATTTGCCCGTTTCTCCATATTTGGTTGCGTTACCGACGCTTCCACAAGATTTCTGTGGAATAATAAGTACTAATAATAAATGCTGTGAAATTGCTTCAGACCCCCATCATTCGTTGCGTGCCACATCACGACAAGACGTGAGAACATCCCAAATAAATTTAACGCGAACAGCAAGAAGCATCTGGCCGGGTCGGACTTTCCCTCTTGATATGGTATATGTAGCTTTGCGCAGTCCCCATTAATATTTTGAGAGTATAGCTCAAGACTTTTTATTAATCGATCATTTAACCAGCGAGCACGACAGCAACCAGAATGCAACTGACAATGACTCTTTAATAGCAGTAGCAATGTTATAGCAAACAGCATTCTGCTTTGAATCCCTTGGTCTGCATTGCTCGCTTGTGGTAACATAGCACAGAAGTCTCCGGCGGGGCTATCTGGACCAATTTACGTTCCATTTATGCACAAAACCGGACTAATGACCTTCTACAATGCAGGACATTCATGAAACTCAACGAGCAGAAATTCTTTCCTCGCAACAATTGCTCCGATTCCTGGCACATCTGAGCTCATTGGTTCAGTTAAGCTCGACTGTTACGGCTCCTGACCTTCGGCATTTGCTTAACGACCAGCTCGTAAACTGTTCATGACTGATAAGGCCGGCCGTCTGTTCTCACTGGTGTGAAAGTTAAGGCATGGAACTCGCCACATTGTGAAAGCACCCATGTGGGAAATAAGCAAAGCGGCTCATGAGAACGTAACTGAAACGTTGCTGACTGCGAAAAACCCTTTGAAATAGAAACGAGACGTTTCGCGATTGAAGCATTGTGGATCATGGCCCCAGGGGTGAAAAAGCTTCTGATTTACCGGATATGATCGGTCACAAACACGGACGCTTTTGCGAACCGGTTGGTGACAAAATTGCGAAAATGCAAACAAATATCAATGCATCGGACAACATTACATTTTACTATCCCAGCCAAACGAAGCACAAAGCTTAGTATTGGTCTGTGCTCGCTCACACTAGCAATATTCCAGTCAATGAGGCCATCGCTGCCGTGAAAGCTAGGGTACACAAACATTTCCATAAAGTTGATGCTTTCGGTCTACCAAAAGAGGACATCTGCGGTCCTTTAGAGCGCATGGTCTCCACGATATTGTCTTCTCGTTCGAAAATGACTTCTACCAACAGAAATTGGGTATAGCAGTGGGGAACCCATGCGCTCTTCCCCTGGTGAAAACATTTTTAAACCAATTTGAAACAAGGGCCCTGGCCGCCAGCCCATTAAAACCAACTTGCTTAGCCAGATACATCGATGATTGGGCTGGGATGTGGACGCACGGAGAGCGTGCCGTTGAAAAGTTTTTATTTCATGAACAACCATCATCCAAATCTGGCTTTTGCGGTGGAGCGTGCAGGGGGCGGAAAGGGGGTTCTTTATTTGGATATACTAGTGATGGTGGAAAGGAGAAACAACCGCACGACGTTGGAAACGAAGCTCTTTATCAAGATCATCAACTCTAGTATAATTCTGCGCTGCGAATCTGCGCATCCAACTTTCACTAAGCACAACATAATTCGTACCATATTCCACAGGGCACTAAACGATTCATCAGGTAGTGAAAAGGAAAGAACGGCCATGAGCAAATTATGGACTTTGCTGTTGGACAATGGATATTCTCCGCGACTTTTAGGTAGAATGTTGGAAGCAGTAAAAAGGTCTAGAGCGCATGGGGGGATAGGTGGTAAGAGGTGGGAACACGAGTTATCGGACAATGGATTCTTAGCGCTACCATGCGTAGATGAGCATTTGCTTTGGGAAATCAAACATATAGTTAAACAATCAAAGCTGCGCGTGCGCATAGCTTGGAAGAACGATAGTAAGCTAAAAAAATTCCGGTGAAGTCTTCCATCTCGAAGCCTAAATGCCCTGTTGGCAATGGATGTCAGTTATGCAAGTCTGGGTTTTAAGGGGTTTGCATGCAAAAAGACGTGGCTCACGAAATCAAGTATCAACTGTGTGAAAAACATGGGAGGGACGCATTCTATGTCGGGGAGTCTATGCCCTTATTCGTTCGAGATATAATGAAGACTCGCCAGACGCTAAAAACAAAGCAGGAAATACCCCTTTCGGTGACCTTTTGTTTGGCAAAATACACTCAGGCTGAAATCTAGGAAGGTATGGATCTTGTGACCCTTTTAGAGCTAAAAGTTATCTACAGAGCACAGGACTACCCAGACAGGAAAATAGGTGAATATATTCGTATAAAAAGTCGGCGACTAAGTCTTCCCGTACAGGGCTCATCATGACCGATTATGCGAAGGTGATATGTGGCTTGATGTGTGATATGTGTTGGCTTAAAATCGTTTACATGTGTACGTGATGTCTGACGCATAATGTGTGATGCCTGTTCAACTGGAATCGCTTGCATGTATAATTGATGCGTGATATGTGATGCCCGTTTCCTTCAATTCGCTTGCATGTTCGAATGAGGCGTGATGCGTGATGCTATTTACTTGAGTTCGTTTGCATGTATGCGCATTTTCGCGTATTCTAATCCCTAGATATGCACTGTATCGTGCTAATGACTGGCAATTGCTCCTTTTTAATCTCCTGAATGTTGTTGTCTTGTAAAAACTGTGGCTGGCTGTCTAAAAAAAACCCTGAAAAATAGAGTAGGAACACCGGCAGGCAATTTTGACTTCACTTCTGCTATTGTTTCGATAAAGGCATGTTGCCGAGATATCAACCCATCCATATTTCCATTCCCCTGTTTTTTTCCGAGGACTGAGGCTATTACTGCTGCCTTAAAGATGAATGGCCTTGTAAGCAGCTGTAACTTCATTCCCGATGTCGGAATCGTAAATTAAGCATGACTCGTGGCCGAACCAATTCAGATGTTTCCCATGGATGCTGCAATATATTTTATAGATCCTCAACCGAATGGGGAATATTTATGTTTTCTACTGATAGTTATAAGTCGTGGACCGGCGAAGCAGTCACCTCCACGCCACCAAGAATAAGCATGGTTTCGTTTGTCCGGAATTTGTTGGCTGGGGCTGTGCAGACTGGACAGCATGCAACAATGTCTGACACTGTTCAAGACTTAACAGAGATGATCCTTAGCAAGGTCTCGTGGTATCGCTACATCAAACAGCGCGCGTCCGGGCCGAACACAGCAAATATCTTTGGCTGACTGAC